CCCCCGCAGTTTTTCTTCCTTCTCTGTGGTGTAACGAGGGCTCTTTGGTTCTGGAAAAGGGTCTCTCTGGCGCATTAGCCATAACACAAAGCAGCCGAGTGAGGCCTCTCCCTATTTCTATATCAGCTCCTCGGTGGAGGAAGTGACAACTGGTTGGAATTAAGCTGAACCTCGAAACATCCCGGGGTTCATTTTTATTGAGGTTACAAAATCAACAAGTGCCATTTTCTGGGCTTGGCAAAGGGAGCAACGTAAAGGTATCAAGTAGCACTCATATACTTGGGCATGAATGAAGGGTCATATCCCCAGACAGCTCTGCAGGGGTGAATTCTGTTCCTGCAAAGCATGTGGAGGCCTGTATTCTTCCCCTCAGTGAAAATGTGTTATTTTATGTGCTCAGACGATCACCTCCCTTGCTTTTTTAGGGAACATCTATTTCTGGTGTAGCTGCCAATTTACTACCCCACAATCCCACCCCATAGTTGGACATATGACTGGTATGATTCCATGAAAATCTTTCCCCAGGTTTGTCACAAGATCTGGAGGGAAGGAGTTTTCTACCCTCTCGCCACTGGACTGTAAGAATCTAAGATCTTGTGTTTCTGGATGTGCGTGGAGTCAGTCAGCTGGAGAGAACAAGGGGAGAAGCAGAAACGAGAGATGATGAGGGAGCGAGCCCTGATGGGCCTGTTCTCGGATGGAATCAGGCAGAGGCCAGCCCCTCCTCTGCTTGCTCCATCATGTCAGGGCATCAGCAAGAGCAGCTCTCTTTCATGTTTTGCTTTGTTAAGTTCAAATTGGGCTTCTGACACGTTCAAAGAAAAGAGCTCTAACCAACTCACTTCCTACTCTGAAGGTTGCTGTGCATCTACTACAACCACGGGAACATCAAGCAAACCCAAAACATATCTAGGAGGATGAAAGGGAGCCAGGTTATCAGGCTCAAGGAAGCCTGCCCCCAGCCAGTTAATTTTGTCATGGCTTGTTAGAGTCACAGTACCAAGTTTATGGGAGCGATTTACTAGCTCCTAATGCTCTTTTCTGTGCAGAGTGGATATGCCGGTCACCGTCTATATGCCGGCAGTTGGGCAGGAGAGTATGAGGGATGGGGAGAGAGGAGGACAGGCACAACCAAGAGGCCTGCTCAAAGCCAGAACGTTATCATCCAACTAACAAAATGAAAGGGTGCCAGGTCCATGAGCTTTCGTTTACATCGCCATTTAGTTCCCTTCTCCAGCAACTGGCTCTGTGGATTAAGACTTTGCTTTTGCACATCATTAACATCTACCCAAAGGTAGAGACCGGATTAAATGAATGTCATTCTAGCTCAAAAAGCGTTCCAAAGTCACCTGGACAACCTAACATTCCCCACACACGCCTGCTTTGTCACGTTCTCATTACTTCATTGAGGCTCCTCCTTCAGTGGCAATCTCCTTAGCATGTCCTCACGTCCTCAGCAGGTTTCAGTATCACTGAACCTTCAACCACTTCTTTCTTAAAACCTCTTCATAGCCTTTTACCTTCTTAATATATGACACTTTCCATATTGAATCACACTTATTTATTAGTCTGTCACCCCCTTTAGAGAAGGGCAAGGACTATGTCTAGAGTATTAGTGACTTGTCCAAAGACTTAGGGAAACTTGACCCACGTCTTCCACTCCCTATTCCAGTGATCTGTGTTCTGTCTCTTCCTTCATCAGCCTCTACAACTCTAAAGGCATTCCTGACCCCCGCTGAGGTAGGAGTTATAAATCCCGCTCTGACACTGTGATGTAAGAAATCCAGGCTTTCCCTCTGAGTTGCTGGTTGCCTTCATGTCACCCCTCTAGCTCTTTCATATGCAGCCTCAGTTTTCTCATGTCCAAAATGAAGAGGACTTCTAAGGTCCTTCCTCTCGACCATTTCATGGGGCTGAGTCTCTGAGAATTTGGTAAAGGAGCCATGACTGATTTAAGTTCGAGACTTCTGCCTAGCCACCTTTTCTAGACTTCTTCCAACCTATGTTTTGCAACAGGGCCTGAAGCGTTGCCATCACAGGAACCTGAATCTCTTGACCTAGCCACATGCATGCTCCGTTCTTTTTGCCATGATTCTTTCTTGACCTTAGACTATCCTTTCTTTTTAGAGGCCAAAGGAGCAGTCATGTAACTGAAAGCAGCTCAACTCAATGAAAAATTGCAATAGTAATTTAAGACAGCCTCCCAAAAAACTAAATTCACCAAGCACAGTGTATAAACCTAACACAGACATGGCCCACCTGCTTTTTTATTTCCTTTGCCTCCTCACACACCAATTGTTTAGTTAAAGCTTTATTATTTCATGACTCAGCATATTTCCAACAAAGCCAAAAAAGACCCACTCCAATTACTGAAATTGTTTTCCCTTCTTGTTTTATTTTCATCACATTTTAATGCCTTGTAGGCTGTTATAAAGGGTAGAAAGTGAGTCTTTTTTTCTCATGGGATCATAAGACAATTAATTTTATAAAACACTCAGAAAGTTATACCTTGAGTGAGGTAGAGTAACTAATATCCATCACTTAAAATTACTTGCAACGCTTGCAATATAAAATCAATGTGTTAAGTCAAAATGCTTATATTCAACCTTAAAAGGCAAAACAAGGAGGCACAACCGACATGCATCTATTTGCCATCTTCCTCCAGAATGAGATGGAGTTAACTGGCTTCAATTCTGCAAATCGTTTTATAGCTATTTTATATGAAAAAAAATAGTGGCGCACTTTCTGGAAATAAAGAAAATAAACATGTACCTGCTATCGGGGCAGAGAGTGAGAACAGAGCTAAGTACGGCCATCGTGAAAGTTCAAACAGCTGACAAATAAAAACTCCCCAGGACTGACTAGTGGAAGGTGACCTATAAATATGGCATGCAGCCGAAGAAGAAAAGTTAAGTAAAACTGCTCAGTTTGTTTTACTTTTCTGGTGAAATGACCATTTGTTTCCAGCTAGTCCCAAAGCTCATGTCTTTAGCAGCCATTACTCCACTGTCCTGGCATGCTGCTGCGGGCTTTGCTTATTTCCTAATTATCAAAAAGAGTTGCTGGAATTCGTTAAGAAATTATAAGTAATATCTCAAGTACCGTCAAAATCCAACTTAAATCTTTCATCAGTGGTGGACTCCCTTGGTTTGCTCAGAAACAAACTAGAATTTGACAACACTGGAACCGCCTGAGCCAAAGACGAGGCAGCAAGCTATTTTCTATTCATTGTTGTTCCCGTGACTTATTTGTAAAGTCCTTCAAAGGACCATAGAAGAACAAATCAAGCCATTTAAAAATAATAAACTATCATCTACAAGTTATGCACAACTATTTAATTAATCCATATGGTGAAAATATAAGCCACTTTTTAAAAAATGTAAGCCACTTAGATGTAGAAAAATCACACCCTCTATTTTGAATTGTTATGGAAAGTAAAATGTGTAAAAACTAAGTTAAAAATTGCATTTAAGATTCAAAGATGGTAATTCATCTTTTTCACTATTAATTTAACTATTTGCTAATCCAAATTAAATACTATGGCAGCAAGTACTGCTACAACAACCATTTCACTCTGGTAAAAAATAGTTCTCAATACTGGCTAAAGCCCAGCAAAATTGTGTCAAGTTCCAGCAGGATTTTAGCTCAAGCAATCTCTAATGTTGGTCACAATGGACTTTGACATCATTGTGTCCCCTTGTACTTCCTTGAAAATTAATTTCTTTCAGGCAACATAAGAATTACCTTTCTTATATAATTTTTTCTATCCTCTACTGAGTCTTGATATGCCTCAGGCGCAAGCACTTTGCATACATTTTCTTATTCCATTATCACAACAACCATTTGAGCAGAAACTATTTTATCCCTGAGTATACTGAGATATATGCAGAAGGAACTGAGACACGGGAAAATTAAACTTTGGCCTCAGTCACAGAGCCAGTAAATGATGGAGTCCACGTTTGATCTCAGACAGTCTGACGCAAAGCCCACACTTGTCGCACATTTGTTGCCCAGCTCCCCCACCACCAGCATGCACTGTTTTTCTCCATCCTAGCAACTCGGAGCAGTTATGATTTTAACATTAACTAAGATTATAACCCACAGTTTATATCCATGATCAGCTTTCTTCCCTATACCAAAATCAGCTTCATCAATACACAACTGAGAAGCCTCCCAAACACTTGAAAAAAATATAAATATGCACACACACATATATACATACCTTATCTCTCTATCTATGGGGGGAGAGATAGAGGAAGACAGAGGAAAAAGAGAGAAACATTAGAAGTCTGGACCTGTTGTAAAAAGACAGACAGATGCAAGCTTCTGCATTTATGTCAGGCACTTGCTGGACCTTATGTCCACAGCACCCAACACAGTGCCTAGAACATAGTCAATCCTTATTGAGCATTTGTGGAATGACTCGGGGAGGAGTGAATGAGTGGTGAGTAAATGACACTAATAGGTAGGCAGACATGGTTTCGTATCTACAAAATAGACGCAGTGATCCTCACTGATGCTAAGGTCAACGTGAGTGAGTAGATGTGGCCACCAACAGCTGTGGTGCAGTACAGCCGGCACTTACAAAAGCCTCTGTCGCAGGCAGGGAGGTATTAGTCCTGACCTGCTTTTTTCCCAATGCTGTGGGCACCTGGATGGGGAGCTCAGAAAAGGATGTGAGTGATGATTAGAGAATCAAGAAGTCCTGCCGTAGGAACAGAAGATTCAGGGAAACCTAAGGTTTTCAAACCCTGCAAGGCTGTTTGGGGAAAAGGATTAGACGGGTATGCATGATCTCAAGGCGGCTTTAAGCTGGGAAAAACTGGTTGAAACCACAGAGAGGCTGGTTTGGGTTCAAAGTTAGAAAGAACAGGCACTTCCTATCACTCTCAGTGGCTGTGTCCCCTTACTTTCTCACCACTTCCCAATCCAGAGCATCTTTCAAAGTCCAAAGCAAGTTCCAACTCCTCGGAGAAGATTCCTTCCCCAACAACACTGACCTTCAGGGGCTTCTCCCTTCAGGGAACTTCTATTCTACTTCACGATCTCCCCCCAAATGACAACATTGTCTTGGCTTCTTCCCCTTGTTCATTCAGTGCTCTGCTAAGTGATAGGAATGCAAAGAAGATTAAGACTAGGGTATTGTCCTCAAGGTACTTACATTATTGAGACGAGACAGAGAAGTAAAATGAAGATGCGCATATACTTAGTGCAAAAGAACTAAGCACTGAGCATCGCTGGTTCATGGAGGACAGACATCCAAATAAATCAAGAATCAGAGAAAATGTCCCAGGAAGATGAGGTTTCCTTATTTTTCCCTGAACTGTGTCTGCAGAAAGTTTGAAAACTAACCAGGTGAAGAAGCAGGAAAGGATGCGCCAAGTACAGGGAATGGCTAAGGACTCAAGGGACTGTGTTCTTCTAGGTGGCTAGAGGATACAAATGCCAGTAAGGAATGTCCTACAGCAAGGATTATATTTCCTTAATATTTACATTCCCCCGTTGCATACTTCTCAACATTATTGGATTGTCACTAAATAATTGCTTATTTGACTAGAATAAATGTCATAAACAAGAAGGGACCCTACTGTTCTCTGATCCCCCTACTCAGAGTAACAAGAACAGGGCTTGAGGACCCCCACTTATAAAACTCTGGACAGTTTGTGTAACATAATGGTAAGAGCATAAGCTCTGGAGTCAGACCCACTTGGGTGTGAAGACTCGCCCTGTGACCACAGAAATAACACTTCTCTTGTGAGCCTCAATTTTCTCATCCTAAGATCTAATAGTACCCACCTGAAAGGCCTGCTGCATAGTTTAAATGAGATTTTTAGAAAAGTAAAGCCCGAGAAAACTGCTTGTTAATATTAAGTGATCCATAAATCATAGATCTGATGAAGAGTCAGAAGTAAGTCTCTTAATTGAAAATTCAGAAGTTGGAGAAGGATTATATTGGCACTGTCATGGGCCCAACGGATAACTATCTCCCACCTAATAAAGAAAAGGGGGCAAAGAGATGACTGAACCTTATTAGCACATGCGGCTCAAATTCGAGTTGCCTGACTCAGGTACCAGTGCAAATCTGTCACTCCCCACAACCAGTATTTGTTGCTGACCTTGCCCCGCTTTGTTGGGCATCTTTACCATAAATGGTACTGAGTAACCAAAGCTGTCCAAAGGAGCAGCCATAACCATTCATCCCATTATCAAACAAGTAAGAAAGTCTTCTTAACCAAAACTGGCCATTTTCTTAAAATTATCGAAGCACAATGTCAGGAGAATCTAAATCTAACTGAACATGCCCGTAGGGCAACAGTATTTAAGCGTGGGAAATGACTAATAATAAAAGGGAAAGCCCACCAACAATGTTCACACGATGCTAACTGATGTTGATCAGTCAGGTACCAGTGCTTTTGCTTGAGCCGGAAACATTTGTCCCAAAACCTGCAGCTGGCATGCATATGCTTCAATCTATGAAGCCATCAAATTTGTGTATGTCGTAGATTAGCCAACTATAGTAAGCATTGGGAGGATCGCCTCATGACCAATCCCCAAACAAAAGCCTCTCCTTTAAGTACTTCTTTTCATAAGAAGCCTAAATTTAACAAAGTTAAAAATAGAGGTTGTCACTATGATATGCAACTCATACATTCCAGTGTCATCCCTGCTCAAACTTGGATTTCAAATAAAACCATTACCTGTCATACCTGTTTATGGTATTTATCCATCTTGCTACACTCCAGATAAATTAAACAGACTTTCATTCTCTACTTCAGTCTTTGTCTGGGTTATACTCTATTCACTAAACCCAATTGCTTTTCTCATCTACCAAGCCATTAACTTTCTTTTGCCTAACCCAGACCAACTCACCTACATCATGGAAGTTTCTCACATTGAACCCATCCCATCACCCACCAGAACAATCCCAGCCCAGCCATTCCTCCTCCACGCTCTGGGAGTTGAGTCATCTGGTTACATTTCGAGTAGATAATATGTGTCTGTCTCCTCTAATGGCTTGTAAGGCCTTAGAGTCGAGCTCATGTCTAATCTTTGCTTCATACATCTGTACACTACTGAATACATCATTACTGTACATTACTCTAATCCAATGGGGACTCAATAAAAACTTGTTGACTGACTGATTTAGCATGGGGATGATTATTACGTAAGCCACTTCGGTAAATAAATTTCAAATAATGACCAGCTCACACAAGTGTTTTACTAGCTCACCTTCCCCATGGAATTGATATAAAGAATGAAAATCAGCAGTCATTTCTACTTGCCCAACATTCAATGTTAACTCACCCCCCGAGAGTAGCTATTTTCAAGCCTAATTTCAAGTCAAAATGTCTAAAATGGTTGTCATTCTTGGGAGGATTTAAGAACTAAGATTTTAAACCCAGTCACTTCCACAGGTTATTAACCCCAACCATGAGCGCATTATTTCTAGCATATTACTAATTATAAGTCTAGCAATCTATTTGAATTCATGTTTATTCGATGAAAGGGGGTCATTCTAACAAAAGCACTTCAATTGGGCATTACATTTTAATATAATTTATACTTTATTGGCATAAAATTGATTAGAAATCTTAATTTGGTTGATATTATTTCTTTAATGGTTCAATTAATTTAATATGTGAGAAGTACAGTCATGAAAATAATGATCTGCCTAATTACATTTCTAAAACAAGAAATAAGTATTTAAAATAAATGGAATGCATATCGGTTCTCTTTCCTTCCCTTTTTGTTATTCTTTCATAGAAGCCTCAGAGGAAGGGAGTGGGAAGTGGGGAATTTTACATGTACTCTCTGTCCAAGTTATTTTAGCCTCTCATGTGAGATGAGGAGAAAGGGAGACTGGTGTGGCTCAGAGTTCAAGGGCAACAACTAGCAGATGAGTACAGAGTTAATTCCGGTTTTATGGCAAACAAAAATTTTTCACCTAAAGCAATGATTTCAAATGGATAGTATCAAGATCAATTTATTTTCGTTCGTATCTGTGAATTGTATAAACATGTTTAAATAGTTAAACTATCAGTTTAGATAATAAAATGTAAATATCAATTTAAAGAAAGGTGTTTTAAGAAGTACTGAACTACTTGAGAATTATTGTAAAGTGCCACACCTCTAATTATATTTAGCCTATTTAGGAATGTTCCTGAGAAAATGGATTAGGCTCTCTTCTGTCACCCTTGAAAAGATTAGCCTGCTTTTGGTGCTCGGATATCTTTTCAGCAAATATGAGTTTCAAGACACAACATTTTAGATCCCAGAAGGTCTCTTCAAGTCAGGTTCAGCTAGATTCACTTTGACAGCTGCTCTGAAGCTGCATCCTCTAAGAAGCAATAATTGTCATTTGGAGGGTTTTCTGGGTGAAAAGGCACAACAGAAAAGGAGCTAGCACATATAATCTGAACCCCAAAAGAAATGCTCAAGGTCTCAAGGGCAATGAAGTGAGTATTTGAAAGCATGTTTGACTTTGAAGCTGATATCTTTATTTTCTACCCTTTATTGAGCAAATATCAGCAAATACAACAAATTGTCTTCAAATTTGAGCCACACAGATATGTATAAACTTCACATTCAATACTTCACATTCCGAGCTCTCTGCATACATATAAAAGGAAATAATTCAACTTTGGATGAAAAAAAAAAAATAACCTGACAGAACAAAGAAAGACCATGATCTAATATCAGAATAAAGTTCACAAATGTCATTAAGTGAGATGATTGATGATGAGTGAAGGTCATGCCCAGTTTACTTTTCACAGTTGACAGATCAAAGTCATTCCTTCATTTGGGATAAAGACTGAATGTAGTTACTTTAGCCTATGAAGTCTCTCTGAGGTCTGCTGTTCTAAGGCACAGGAGTGGTCAGAGCATTCATGACCTGTCTGGAAGCCAAGGCAGAATGGGAAAGAAAATTCAAGGTATATCTCAGTTTAAGTGAAGTTTTTTTAGTCTGGGATTAAATAATGCAGGAAATGCAAGCATGATATATTATAGGACATTGTAATATCCTATGGTACAGAGATACATAGAAAGATAAATAAGACTATGTCATGGAGTGATGGGCTCATGAGAGCTGAAGCCACTAAGGTGTCACTGTGCTTGACCACCCATCTGATTCATGAGTTCTCTTCCCTGTCAGGTGGTCATCCAGTCCATGGTAATGAAGTTCCTTCATTGATAGGAACTTCTCCAGTCCTGCTGTAGCCATGGATAGCTCTATCTGAAAGCTCTTTCTCTCTGTGACTAGAAATCTAGCTTCATTCATTTGTCCTTTTGCCACCCCTTGAGACCAAACAGAACAAACTAAATCCTTCTACTACCTAACATTCCTCCACTATTTGAAGATGATTATCTCATCCTCACCATTACCACTTAAGTCTTCTCAATTTCTTCAAATATGCCTCATAAGTATTTGTCCAATCTTCTGAGCATTCTGATGAGATTCAATCTAGCTGCCACGCAGGTTGCTAAAAAAATAGACCTGAATATAGAATTACATATGTAATCATCCCAGGACAGACAATGTTGACTATCCTCTCTCTTAGTCTATATACTTAACTATTCTTCCTTCATTTCAGCCAAGATCTCATTGGCACTTTTGGCAGCTATTGTCATTTGAGGAACATTTCTCCAATATAGAATAATTGACTTTATGCTTTAGAAATTGCTTTCATTTCTACATCTCATTTAAATCTGACAATAATCTTCAATAAAGGTATTATGTTTGACATTTCCAGATAAAGAAACTGAGATTTACAGGGGTAAATTTTTGATGACCACATAAATAAGTTGCAAAGCTAGAACCAAAACCCAGGTTCTCTGATGATACATCGCATGCCTTTGTGACTATATTATTCTCTTTTAGATTATTTTAGATGATGTTTCAGTGACATAATGATAAATTCTTATCAAACACAGAACTCCAAAAACTACAGTTTAGAAGCATATCCTGGGATAGGAGAGTTATAAATCATCCCATTAATTATCCACTGCAGATTCTTCTTTTTCTTTTTTAACTAGTGGACAGTATTACAGATATCCCCAATTTCCTCCCCACTTTGCCTGCCTCTACCCAGTGCAATAATACC